GGTTGTCACAATGCATCATGGACTTCACAACTTGCTCAAAACGTAGTTTTCTATTGCGTTGCCTGCTGCGTTACCCAGCTATTTTCCCGGCACTGCTCGCGACAGTCCATATTGCGCAGTTCAGCAAGGCTCGGGTGTATTGTACTGAATCTGCCTTGTGAAGGTTTTAGCGCCCTCTCGCTTAATTATGGTGGGTTTAATCTCTTTGCACTCTCCCCTGTGATAATTTGGTGTGTATCTTCAAATGATGTGGGGTTCGTTGGCGTGTGCAGGACGCGGGTTCGAGGCAAGCATCGTAGTCTCAACATTGGCGGAATGGCGATGATCTGGTGGGTCGCTGGCAAACACAAGCCTGACTAACTCGTCGCTCATGTTTTTGAAGGAGTAGCCGGGATTTTCGTTGACGCTTGTCATCAAGCGTGTTGATTCTGAACTGAGTGGTGTGCTGGAGTCCTGCTCGGGCAGATGTATCTTACCAAGGAAAGTTGTTAAACGTATGCCCCGACGTTACCAGCGCCCCCATCGTGGTCACGTCTAGTTGCGAGGTTACCCACTCTTCGTAGAGTTTTGGTGTCACCACCTCAATGAATCCCGTGATAGTCTTAATGAAAGTCAGCGTCTTCACTTTGAAAATTCTTGCCACCATGTCCCAGGTTCCGCCGCATTTCATGACCACAAGCAACATGAAAAACACGTCCTTAGCGGCGAATGTGGAGCGCCTTCCGCGTCCGACGTTCCAGTACCGATGCACATGTCCACGTACGGAAAACCACAATGTGTTTATCTCGCTTGGAGAGAAGTTCGTGAGCCGTAGCACGGCCTCGGCTCCTCCGTCACGATAAATACCATCAAAAATTGGGCACGTTGAGGTCGGTTCCGTGTTGTTGACGTCAACTTCATCAGAGTACCGGTTCAGCTCCTCAAGTCGAGCCTCCTCGCGATCTTCAAGTATCTCTAGCATCGACTGGCGATGGGCTCTGGACGATCGCGAGCTAGAGGCTGCCCGAGAGCGAGTCGGCTCTGCGCGAACCGAGCGCGAACGTGCTGCTGCCACGCTTCTTGACGAAGGGGATGATGCACGAGACGTCGAACGGCCTTGTGACCTCGGTAAAGTAGGCGACTGGAGAGACGACGTTGCTAGTGTGGGGGTCCGGGACGTTGCGCGCGACTGGCGAGATGGCATTGTTCCGATGTTGGTGAAGGGAATGGATCACTGAGAAGATCGACAGTAAATTCCAAAGTGAACGCCTTCATTTCGAATTCGCACGATAGTATAGCACAAAACGTCGATCATAAGGTGGAGCGACCGTTAGAGGGACGATGGTATAGATGATCACCAATAGAAAAGTAAATCATTTGATGCCACTAATGCGTTAGAACAGCAGGTCAATGAAACACATGCTTGTATTCTTATGCTGGCAGATGACTTTTGGAATAATGGATAACTTCTACAAAGGACTAGTAGGTAGGGACCTGGCCGTGCAAAATTTGGAGCGATCTGTGAAGAAGTTCAC